TCATTTAATCCAGTAAATGGATTAATAAAATAAATGGATTAAGTGACTTAATCCATTAAATGGATTAAATAAATTAAATGAGCTAATATTTGTAAAGCATTTAAAACAGCACCTGGTATAAGGTAAAAGCTATGCGAGTGTTTGTTAAGCTGAGAATTGGGGAGCAAGAGACTGGGGTGGAGGGCAGGGCTATGCTTGGACATGGAGGTGACACATTCCTGGGTCACCTGGCAACGGTGGGTGGCCCATATGTGGCCTGTGGGCATCTGCAATGCTTGTAATCCTGCCCCCGGCAATGCGGGATGCTTGGAGGGGGCATGCACAAGTACCGAGGGGCTACGCGCCAGTGCTACACTGCGCTGTCACACAATGCACGCTGCTCACGAGACAGGGCCAGCATCCCATCTGAGAGCCGAGGCGCCACGTGTCCAAGATCACACAACCATGAAGAGGTGGAGCAGGATTTAGGTCCTAAATCCGAGCCCTGCGCATTGGGAAATCTGATTCCCTGTGTCCCCCACCTCAGGCCACACCTGCAGACCCAAAAGGGGGAAAAGTGCCCCTCTCTGCTCCCACCCAGCCTCCCCTCAACCTCCAGGAAACCTGAGGGCTCTGAGTGTGGCTGTTTGTGTTGAGGACCCAAGACCCCTTCCCTGGGGTGGGGCTATGAGCCTAGGCTGAGATGGTGACAGTTTCTGAAGCATCACCCCACCCCTCCTGGGAGCAAGAGGCCTCCTGACCATGACCCCAGCCTCCACCCCACTGGGCTGCTTGCCTCCCGTGTCAGCCGCAGGGCTGTGCCAGCCCTGAGCCCGAGCCAAGCCCTCCTTGGACGCGGTTGCCTGGTAACCAGCCCTAAGTGACGGAAACCCCGGCGGGCCGCTAATGAGGGGGCAGCAGCCAACCACCTGGCCAGACCCTGCAGCCCTAGCCAGCCTCAGGAAGGCTTTGATGACAGTCCACCTGGCCTGCCCCCACGGTAGGAGGGAAGGCTGCCCTAGCACTGGGGGAGGGGGCGTGGCGGGATAAGGAGGAGCTGTGTTGATAGCCCCCAAAAACCTTTGAACTGGGGAGCCGGGGGAAGGTGATTCCCGGTGGAGGCCAAGGCCCAGCCAAAGCCAGGGGCAGGCGCTGGGCTGGAGTCAGGGTTGTGGGTACTGCTGCCCAAGCCCAAACCGCTGGAAACAGCTGTGAAGGCTCTGCTGAGGGCGCTGAAACTGGGGGAGGGGATCCCCAGAGAGAGGCCCTGGCCAGGGAAAGGAAAGGAGGTGATCAGGGAGGTTGGCAGGAGGCCAGGCTCTGGGGAGGGTCAGCCTCCTGCAACACTGAGGGGAATGCATCAGCCCCTCCCCCTCCGCAGGGATCCTCTCCTCTTCTCCCACCCCCACCCCAGGCTCAGGGCCTCCAAGGAGGGGGCTACAGGCAGCGTGGGGCAGGTGGAGCTCAGCCAGGTGTTTTTCCATCCCAGGTCTGAGGGCGGAAGGTGGAGAGGGAGAGGCAGCGTCAGAACAAGAGGGAAGCCTGGTGTGCAGACAGGACAGGCCTGAAGGAACCCTGGCCTCTAGACCTGCCTGCCTGAGCTCCTGGGCACGCAGTGGGTCCCCTCTGGGCCTCAGTTGTCCCATGGTGAAATGGGCTGGACGCAGGCCCTTGCGGGTCTGAAGCTTGGCACCGTGGCTCCTGAGAGGCTGAGAGGGGAGGGCAGGGGTTTTAGAGGACTTTGGGGCAGCAGAGGCTCCTTCAGGCTTTCATCTCTGGGCCTGGGTAGCTTTTTCTGCCTTTCTTCCCTCTCAGATGAGCAGAGTCCTTCACTTTAGCCCTTCCGTCCGGACCACAGCCTGACTCAATCCTGTGCCGAGCAGGAGTCCCAGCCCGAGGGCAGCCCCGGCCCTGCCCTAGAGGAGGTACCTCTTCAGTCGAGGGAAGCCAGGCTTGTCACTAAGCAATTGTAGCACATGTAGCACATGCTGAGGCTTGGATGGAGGCAAGTTTGGAATGCTATGGGGCCTCAGAAGAGATGACCAAACATAGCCTGGAGTTCAGGGAAGGCTTCCTGGAGGAGGGTTCCTGAGGCAACCCTTAAAGGCCAACAGGAATTAGTACAGAAAGCCAGGTAAGCGGCTAAGGTGGAGGGAGAGCATATCCCAAGTGTGAAGTTATGTCCCCCAAGGAACTGTGGCTGGCTAGGGAGGGACAATCTGGAGACATGCCAGAGTGGAGAACTAGAACCTGGGGCACTGAGGAGCCACAGGAGACTCCACGCTGGGTGTGACAGGGTCAGATACGGGCATTGAAAAGACCTCTCTGGAGGGCTCTGAAGGGAATATCTCCCACTGCCTCCACACGAAGACTCCAGTGGCTGCACTCTGGCATAGCCAGAATGAGGGACGTCACAGTCCCCCGCTCCCCCAACCCAAGGCCCAGCAGCGTTATTCCCGAGGCCTCTCTCCTGCTGCGGCAGCCCTAGCCCCGCACAAGCACCCGTCGCGCTGGAGTGCACGGTCTGTTTAAGTCTGTCTCTCTCACTGCGCTGGGAGACAGCACCTGGGGCCCAGCCACTGCTGCACCCTCCATGCCAGCATAAAGCCTGGGAGCCTCAGTATTTGGTGGAAGGAAGGATGGGAAGGAGGGAAGGAAGATCTGTCCACCCTGGCTGGCAGAGAGTGACCCCTCCCTGTAGGGGGTCCCTAAATTTTTGTGAATGGGCTTTTATTCTTACCCAATAGGCCGGCAGATGCAGTCCTTCAGAGGTGCCCATGAAAGCCCATACCCCTTTCTCAGTTTTCAGGATTCCCCTCCGAGCAACTGTGATCGCCTCTGGAGCGGGGGTGGGGCTCCTTCGGAGTTTGGGAGGCTCCCGTTGCCTACTCACCCTGGGAGGGCAGCAGGCTACTGCCACCCGCCTCCCTGCAGAGTGGAGCTCTGGTGTGGCAGCACACTTTTGGAAAGTGGCTCACCTCACCCCAATCAGGTCCCATGACCCTGCCCCCACCGCCAGGTCCTATCCAGCCCAGCCTCCCTAAGACAGGCCGAGCTCAGGCTGATGGCCACCAACGCAGCCCAACTTCAGGCTCGGCCTGCTTAGGTGGCAGAGGGTTCCTGACCACCAGTTGTGTCTGAGCCTTCCCTAGAAGGGTTGGGAGTCACACAGTCCTGGGGAGGGAAACCCCAGCATCTCCATTTCTTAGCTATGGGGACAAGTGGCCTCACCGCTCCTCCTCTAGGGCTACCATTGGTTGGCTGTGAAGCCACTGGAACCTTGTAACATGTAACCGTGCCCACTTGATGAGCAAACTGAGAGTTGAAGGGGCTTGCCTAAGTCACACAGCTCAGTAGGTCAAACCTCAGTTTGCTTGTTTCTCAAACTCCTACCTCATATGGGTGGAAGGAGTAAATGAGACAATATCTATTAAATGGTTGGCATAGGGCCAGGCTCCAAGTAGGAGCTCCTTGCCTGCCCAACTGCTGAGATGTTCCTCTTCTGGTCAGGGAGAGGGATGGATGAGGAAGTAGAGAGGGCAGAGAGTGCAGCAACAGCAGTCTGGGGAGCCTCCCTGTAGGAGGCAATGTCTATAGTTAGGTCCAAAAGGATGGAGGGGAGCGTTGCTGTGTGTCTTAGGGAAAGGTGCCACACATCTCTGTTTTTCTGCCTATAGAGTAGCTGCCAGTTCCACCTCTCCCTCCTCTGGGGTGAAGGAGCTCCTCTGAGGAAGGAAAGAGATTTGTAAATAGCAGGTGTGGCCTGTGGCCTCATTAGAGGGAGCTACATTGTTATTAATAACCATAACATAACGAGCTGAGGTTCAGAGAGCTGACCTCTTACTTCACTGTCCCAGAGAGCCAGGATAAGTAATCAGTGCCTCCAGTGGGGCGGAGGAGGAGTATGTGTGTGTGCCCCACGTGGAGCCTGTGCAGACCCTGTGGGGTGGGGGTGGGGAGAAACCTCCTCTTCTACACTACTTATTTCGTTGTTAACTCCACCCATGAGGCCCACGTAGAACAGACTGTTCCCTCTCTGCTTTTATGCACACTCTTCCTTCCAATTGATACACCTCTTCTCTTAAGACCACAGCCCTAAGAAAAACATGCAGGGGCTCCCAAGACAATCCCCTTGTATGGACATTGCCCTTCTGGTAAAGGAAAAAGGCAAGGTCAGAGCCTTGAGGAGCTCAGAGGTCACGGACACTCTACAGAGCTCTCTGCAGCTCACCAGCAGTTTCCCACCCTGATGTTGCTCAACACTCACACTGTCAATAGGCCCGTCTCTCACTGCTCCCATTGTGCAAGGAGGAAATTTGAGGCTCAGAAAGTTACAAAGTAGCTCCCATACTGTGTCCTTTCTTTGGTAGTCCGGGCTGTTTAGTGATGCCAAAAAAAGAACCGACAAGATACTGATTAATGGGGGTGCTGTCTTTGCCAGGTGTCCTTGAATCAACATGAGAGTCAGGGGCTGCAGAATCTTAGTTGGTTCCTAGGGTCTCAGCAGACTCACCCTGGCCTGGGTGGGTCCCACTTGGGCTCAGAGATATTGGAGAGACCACCAGGCACACCTGAGTACACAGGTTGAGAGTCCTAGACCCCAAGAGCTAAGAACACGGCTCTCCTTCCTCCCCGCCCCCAGGGGTGGGGGATGGGAGCTACACCAGGGAGGAGGGGGAGAGGGAGCAGAGTTGGTGAGCAGCAAAAGCGGGGAAGAACAGCCTGTGACCCACAGGGCTGCAGGCTGGGGTTAAGGCTGTGAGGCTTGGCATGACCCCTAGCTGTCAGCACACGAATGCATTTTCCTGATGCTAAGGTGTGGCTGCAGGAAGATCCCCAGCCTGGGAACCAGGAGATTTGGGTTTTTGTCCTAGCTTACCGTGTGACCCTGGGAAAGCCCCAACCCTTTCTGGGTCTCTCCTCCCCACATATTTCCAGACTTTAAGGTTCTTCCAGCTCTAATTGGAGTGACACTCTCCCCCCTCTCCCCAGGTGACCTCACTTCTTCTTCCTCTTCCTACCTGCAGTGTCCAGCCCCTTCTCTTTCAGCTCCAGCTGCTCGTGACTCTTGGAACCTGCAGCCTCAGTTCTGCTCTGCTCTGACTCAGGCAGCCCTGACCTTTGGGATCCGAGGAGGTGGCCTGGGTGGTTTTGCCCCATGAACTTACTCTGACCTTTGGCATGTCCACCTGTCCTTCCCTCCCCCCATTGCACACCTGTCCCCAGCCTTCAGGCAGCCCAGGAACTTCAAGGGACTAGATTCCTTCAGTCAAACTAGCAGCACTGAGGGGCCCTCATCCACAGTCAGATGGCCAGAGAAACAGGGCAAACAGGGGCAGCCTTTCCACCCTCCAGCCCCTCTCTGCAACACACCATCCGGCCTGGGAATGCTCCACCCCCACCGGCCTCCGGGGCTGCACGTGCTCAGGCCTGTCTCACTGTCCGAGACTTGCGGCAAAGGTTCCGGGATAACCAGTGAGACCACCTAGCAACGGCCCCCCGGCACTCTCACTTCTGGCCTGCTCCGGGGATGGGGACATCACTCCTTCTTCAGACAGCCGCCGGCCCTAACAGGGGTTGAGATACATTTGTCTGGAATTTGCCCTGGCTGACTAGACCGAAATGAGGAGAAAAAATAACGAGCCCTTCTAGAGCCCCCTGATACAACCAGTGCAGGACAAGGGAGTCAAGCCACTACTGGGTGCCATATATTTTAGTACAACCTCTCTCGTATGTGTTACAACACCAGCACTGAGAGGAAGACAGAATTCCAGCGTTACACATGAGGAAACTGTAGCTCAGGGGGTCGAGTGGCAGGCACAAGGTCACATAGCTAGAAAGCGGCAGTGAATGACTGATCTAACGGAGTGACTGCACAGGTTCGCGGAGCGCGGCGGGTACGCAGCACCGCTGCGCCGGGAGAGCCGGCCCACGCAGGCCCTCCGCCCTGCGGGCCTAGGGGAGGGCCGGTCCCAGAGGCGCGGCCGGGCTCTGCCCCCACCCCGCGGGCAGCCCCGCC